ATGAGAATTATAACAAGCACAAAATGGTTATGAGGTCGGTCTGAAAGAGTTAACTCATCTTGGTTTGAATACGTGTAAATCCTATCTGCATACTTCATGAGACAACTTTATTGTTGAATTTAGGAGAAAACAAGTTCACACACATGCTCCTGTTTTTCAAAGAATCCCCTGTGAACATGGCATATGTATGTGTATGTTAGCTTGACTCCAGGTACCTGCCCAAGACAAAGACACGTGGATTAATCTCCTCCCCCTACATTTGGAATGTAGTACAATGAATTTGAGAAAATAGTGATTTTTTAAAAATTATTTTGAATAAATCATACATAAAGTTTATTCTTTTTTGCATTTGAAATGCTTTAGCTATGTTTCCATTAATATCTGTTTTAGTGTTTTTTATTACTTAATAAAATAATCTATTGAAAATATTTTTAACACTGTTTCATATCAACTTGTTGCTAAACCTCTTTTTTTTTGTTGTTGTTCTGATATCTATCCTCAGTATGGATTCAGTTAATATTAGAGGATGTGTTATTCATCTTTTATAAATACCAGCTTTTTTTTATAAGTAGATTGCCTAATAAGCAGCTGTAAATGTTCCTAAAAAGTTAAAAATTGGGAATGTTATTCAATACTAGTGAGTTCAAAGTAGGTTTTACATCTTTTTTTCATACACTTCACTATTTCTAAGTTTTCCTATCTATAATTATTGTTTCAGACATCAGAGGTGAACTAGCTGTATTTAATGTTTTTTAAATAAAATCCTTGTAAACTGAATGCAATAAAAAAACACATTATGATTCAATACATTGTTTCAGCTACTACAGTTATTCCTCAGTTCTTTTTGCATTAAATATTTATTTTTATTTAGGCTTCAGATTCCAAGATAAAAGAGGAAACATCAGATCAAGACGTACATGAAAAGGATTCAAGAGCTTTGTCTATGTCAGATGTAAGTAATTGGGAATTGAAAGTGAAGGTACTTAGTTAAATTTCGGCCAAACATGACTGACTTAGAGGAAGAATGCACCATTCGTTTGATGCTGTTTCATTGCCAGTAAAGTTGTAAATGGGGTTGATCTATACACAGTTATCCAGTTGGGAGGTGCTAACAACCAACTGGGTTAAATCCTTTGTTAATGTTTGTTTTCTGCATTAGTACCAGTAATTGTAGTATACAATGAAATTTTCTAACTTAAAGAACTATTAAATAGTCTAAGCACTGTATTAGTTTTAATTTCTAAATGTTATCTGCTGAGTTTTGTTTACCAGGCTTTTATAAACCAGCAGACATGTTTTTTCCAATATCACATGAAAAATGACTAAAATTTTGCATTTAACTTTCAAGTATCTAACAAGAAGAGGCAAACTATGCCAATGAATAATTGTGAATGTGAACTTGTCACTGAAATATTAACAGTATGCTAAATATTATGTGATTTCAGACACTGCATTGTACCAAAAACAGTGTATAAAAATATGATTAATAAACAACTTTTTAAAACAGAAGTATTGGGAACACAAAAGTTTACCTTGAACTTGAAAGTAATGGTGGTTCCGATCTAGTTGCAAAATGATATACTTATCTGATTTAAGATAGCTTACGTCATCACGTTTGTTGACTCACATTAAAAATTTTATTGAACTACTATTTCATGTCAGTAAGTTTGGTATCAAACTGTAGATAAATTATAATTCAAATTTTGTTATTATACATTACTCAGTTTCTTTATTTAAAAGTATATATTAAAAAACATAGATAAACATCGGTTTTTGTGTGTCACTTGGTATGTTGAATGCAGCACTGGTTAAAATTAGATGTTTGTGATGTCAAAATACTAAGTATAATTTTGTATGAATTAGGAACTCAAATTACTGATATTGACTATAAACTAAGAACCTTTTATCTTTTCTTTTTTTGCTAAGATATTGCTCATGTAATAAATGAAACACAGTGGCACTCTGCCCACCTCTTTACATTTTTGGAAATGCTCCATTATATACACTTACTTCAATATATGACATGTGAATGGCCTCCTAGTGGCTTTCTCAGCCATTTTCATGTGTTAGGACACCATCTCTTTCTTTCGAGTCAAGATCTTTTTCAAAGCGGTAGGTTGTGTCTTTCGTCTGCTTCAAATTTCATATTTCTTTAGACCCAAATATAGCTTAGTTACTAAGCTTGTTAAGTTATAATGGAACTCTGTGCTATTAATATGGTAATTTATGATTTTTAGGTTATTCAATTATATATATAACCCCTAAAAATTATTTTGTTTCATATCCTCCCCGTTCCAAATTTTAAAAAGCTTAGCAACCTATGTCAAGCAGCAACCGAGTACAAAGGTCATAACTAGTAGAGATAATTGTTTTATTTACTTCTTTATTTACTGTTCTATGTTTTAAAAAACATAAGTTTAAGAACTTATTTCTAAATAATAATGATATATATAATGTATAATAATGGAAATGTGACTGTATTTTACAAAATACTAGTCTACTAAAACACAGCC